AGAGGCGGTCAAATAATTAAAAGCAAGGGTTGCCCACATCTGCAGCCCAGAGCTGTACTTTCCCATCAGGAATTCTGTTCGATTGCTCATAATTTACTCCCCCTCCCAACACGCTGGAGTCTTGAGAGAATTGGCTTCTTACCAAAGAATTCTCAAAATTTCTGGCACAAACTACTTCTATCCCTGTCCCCCACCCCATCTTCTTAGATCATTTAAAAGTGCATATGAGCTGAACGATCTCTAAACGGTCCCACGCTTTTTTTTTACACAGGTCTAAATTTAGGATTAACTGAAATGGCCTTCTCAGATCTTTTGTCAAACCTCTTCAATTTAATCAAAGGGAAACAGGCTCAAAGTTGGCTGTACTTAGAATCTAATTACCTTTTTAAAAATTGTATGGCCAAGACAATTTTACAAACCAACTAACTTGTGAAAAATATTTTCGCTTGCAATCCATATGACAAAGTGTAGATATCCTTTAAGAGATCATTTTAATTGATAAGAAAATCCAGAAGATTCTAATCAATAAATGGGCAATAATGGAAATAGGTAGTTCACAGAAGAGGGGATACTGGTGAATGAACATATGAGAAATCTTCAGTCTTACTAGCTATGAAAAATGGAGATAGCATCATCACCGACCGCTTCCCCATAGGTGAAATAAAAGAAAAAAAAGGTGATATACAATGCTGGAAAGAGAATGGTGAGACTCTTGTCACACTGTTGGGACGAGTCAACATTGGTATAACCTTTTGTTATCCATAAAAATATTTTCTACCCATTAATCCCACTTCCAGAAATCTACTTTTTGATCCAATAATTCCATCTTTAGGAATCCATCCCAAGGAAATAGTCAGAAATGCAAACAAATATTTCATTACTAAGATGCTCACGAGAGAATACTTTTTAATATGGAAAAAACTAGAAAGAACCTGAATGTTCAACTTTAAGAAATAGATAATTAATCAGCTCGAACTGTGACAAAACCATAAAATGGTGTATGATTCAGCCATCCAAATATTATTATGGTGTGGGAGAATACTTATGTTTTAATCTTAAGAGAGTAAAACAGGATATAAAACTATGTACAGTATAAACTCAACCCTGTAAAAAATGCATAAAAGGAAGCCTGAAAGGAAACATGCTGAAATGTTAACTGTTGTGATTGTTAGCTTCTTCTTTATACTTTTCCACATTTTCCACAATGAGCATATGTCACTTTTAACCTCGGGTATAGTTTATTATTTCTTTCCTGAAAAAATGTAGAGAGGTAATACATGTTCACTATAACAATACGTATGTGTATAAAGTAAAAATTGAAACTCATCTCCATCTCCCACTCCCCAAAACTATCTTTAAATCTGGCCCACACACTAGCAGTTTGGTTTATATTCCTGCAGACACATATCACACACACACACACACACACACACACAAATTTTGTTTTACCAAATTGGGAAATTCTTAAAATAATAAACAATTCATCAGTTTTTATTCTAATAAAAAGAGATACAAAGTAAAAAAACAACAACACAAAAACAAAAAAAACAAGCCATTAGCTCCCACCCAGATAACCCTTATTGGAATTTTTTAAAGGTCATATTCATTTAAGGTAATAAAGTTCAAACTCTAGAAAGATACAAAGCATAAATTAAAGCCCTTCTGCCCACTCTCTTCTCAAATGAAACCACTGTTGAAAGTGGGAGGTATGTCAGACAGACAAGTATGTCAGAAGACAAGTACTATATCTCTTATATGTGGAATCTAAAAGACTACAAAGTGGAATGGTGGTTACCAGGGGCTGGGAGAATTGGAAAGATGCTGTTTAAGGGTACAAACTTGCAACTAGCAGATAAATAAGTCTTGGAGCTCTAATACACGGTACAGTGAATATAGACACCAAAACTGTATTATAAACATTAAACTTGCTAAGAGGCTAGATCTGAATTGTTCCCACCAGTAGAAGAAATGCCAATTATATGATATGGACAGAGGTGTTAGCTGACTCTACAATGGCAGCCATATTACAATATAAATTTATCAAATCAATGTATTGCACACCTTAAACTTACACAATGCTATATGTCATTTAAAAATTATATCTCAGTTTTTTAAAAGCAGGGGAAATCTTTTTATAACAGGTTGGGGGTTTATAATTTTCATTTATCACAGTCCATAGTCCATTCTGCTACAATCTGTAGTCCCTTGGAGGGGTAAGAGTAAAGGAAGTCTCGCTTCACAGAGGGTAGAAAATGTGTGCAATTTAAAACCTCAAGAAATGATACAGCTTGAAAATATAAATGTTTTCAAACCAGATTTGATGTTAAATAAAGTGGGCTCTTAGATAACACTGGGATGCTGAGATTGTTGAAGAAAAGCATCCCACCATTCTGCCTTATGTCACTATGTTGGGTGGAAAAGTCTTTGCCAGAGTGGCAATTCTCAAGTTCTCTGGAAGTCAGCAAGGTATTCCTGACTAACAAGTCCTCTCTAGAACATGAGAGTTGCATTCTATATGCTCTT